AATAAATATTGCACAAACATATACACAAAGAACTCTAGTAGCTATTTACATTCATGTATGCTATAAATATATGTTGTATGCATTTTCTATATTTACAGTATTTATACACACACACATTATTCTTAGGATCATTCATGAACATGCAGATCAATCTACACAGTATGATCAAAACATGTTTATTTTCCTTAAATGATATTCACTTACAGCTTTTCACTCTTGTGCAAAAATGCAAAAATATCATACTGATTAGTATCCTCTCTCTCTAAAAAAATCTTTTTGTGTTTAGGTTTACAAATAAATTATGAAATATAGTTCATTCACAAATTGAAAATAATTACAATGTTTTTATAACAAGGCATTACTGAGGTTTTGAATTGCGGCATTCTTGAAGCCATCTGTCTTTCAAAACAAAGACATTAATAAGTTATTGTTATTTCTTCATATTTGCACTTTTCAATTACTCATATGAAATATGTCATTACAAATCTAATACTCATGCTAGTCAAATAGTGTTTGGGTAGAATATTAATTTTATTTCTATTTTATTTATTACTTTTTCCTGAAAAGTCTTCTGTAGAACAATCTGGAAAGTCTCTTGAAATTACTGTACTAGAACATTTCTGGAAAGTTTTTTACCCCATAAAAAAGGTTGGAGAAATAAGTGAGGCAAAATTGAGGAAGAATAATTTTGGTAGATGCTCAGGAAAGATGAAAGCAAATGCAAGAACTGTTTGAATTTTATCTCTTAGTCCTTTGGTATTTCCTTGCCTCATGAAAGTCCTAAAAAAGGTTCAATTCTTTAAAACATTGATTATACTCTTCCATTAAATATCAGTTGTGGTCCTCCATTGCTCATGTTGTCTGTCATTTCCTGTTAGGAAAATAACATGAATTAATTAAATTTCACTTTCAAAGTAAGACATTGATTTGGTTAATGGGTTTGCAAAACAGAAATTTCAAGCCATTGAAAATCTTGCTGAGTTTTGGGGAGGGACAAGGATTGATTATTGTTGTTGCATTTGAGGAAATGAAATTTCATGGCAACTTGGAGCACATGAAAATGCCGAAGTGACAGTCTATTAGACCAAAGTCTTCTATGCACAAAAACAGTTCATTCTCTGCCCATTTCCCCATGTTTCCTCTTTCTTTCTTCAACTCTATTTTGGAAGGACCTCGCCTAGAACCAAAAATATGGCTACCAATGCATGGGCTCCTCTGCTGAACATATCAACAAAGTGCTCATACATTCTAGGGGTTACCTTTATTTTATAGACAAAATTGTGGCCTTTTTGCTAAGTAAAGGGCCACAAGGGGATCATTGCTCATTTGTAATGATGAATCACTAAAAAATCGTATTAGGAAAGATTGTTTTCATGACACTATCACTTATACAGTAAAAAGCAAACATGAAGTCTCTTAACATGTTTTTAAAGAATCAATTACTAAAAAGTTACAAAAGAAAACTATGTGGGAAAGCAATAAAAATGTAGATATAAAGGATAAACCAACATAAAAAGTTTCATATGCAGTTGTAGAAAATATATTAATTTAAGAAAAATGTTGATGCTTTAAATTCATACATTTTATTAAATGTTAAACCTTTCCCAACACAATAAAAGGTGATGAGATGTGAAGCCCATTCACATTTATAATGGTTCACGCACCGTACTATAAATAATATGTTGGTAAAATTATTTAAAAATAGATTGACAGAATCTTTCCATACTTCAACAAGCCTATTTGCAAAAGAGCAGTAAAGAACATTTCAAATGGAAATTATGTTCTCAATTATCTCTTTCCTATTTCTATCTAGTTTCTGTTTGGAGAATCTGTTAGAGATGTACGTGATAAAAGTCTGCCAGAGATGTACTTGTTTAAAATCTGAAAATATATTAAAATTACTGGGCTGGGATTAAGTTTATAGTTAGGAAACCTGATTTGAGGCTTCAGTCAAGAACTCACTCCTGCTGGCAAGATAAATAGAAATAATCCTTCCAAAATGACCTTCAACAGAACATACTCCTATGTCTTTTCCTGTATCTCCTGCTACAAGGAAAAACAATTTCCTAATGGATTTATAGAAATGAGAATCTTAGGTACCTTTTCTTCTCCTGCAATGACTTTGCATTTAAAACTACATAAAAATCATTAAAAATCTAATCTGTTAACCTTTCATTGCAGGATTTACAAAAAAGAAGTTTTTAAAAATTTTACAAAATAAAATAGTTTTCTTAGCTGTATTTACTCTAGCACGGAAACAGTAAAATCACTGATAGGAAATAACGGTGAAAATTAGTTTTAAAAGGGGTATGCTTTTTCAGTTTATTTGCAAACAGGCATGCTTAATTTAACAAGAAGATTGTACTTTTAGTTTGGGCAGGAGTGAATGTGGCTATTTGCAAATGGACATACTTTCTGCAAATGGACCATACTATCTATGTGACTTTCTCTAGTTCCAATTATTCTGTTTAACCAAAGCAAGAACCATTAGTATTTATATTCAGCAATTTGAAATGTAAGAAATAAATTATAAATATATCACATCAGATAATTTTATAAGAAGAAATTTTCCATATAGAATTTTTACTATATTAGTGTCAAACTTTGGCTATCTGCTCATGCAATGTTGGCATGAGGGAGATACACAGTTTGTCTTTATCCAGACCTATCTATTATTGAAAGCAAAACTCTGGTCTGTGAATGATGATATTGAGTCAAAATCATGATGTAGCAGAGAATAAAAGGAGTCATGAATCATCCAAGCAGAAATGTGTTTGGATGTTTATAGGCAGGCTGAATATTTTAAATACTCAACCAACTTTCAAGCTGCAAGACTCTGCCATGAAGTTTTATGTCAGCTCTTCAAAGTAGCTCTTGTGAAAGTGATACTTTGAGGAACAACATTACAGCATCAGTCCAGACTGATCTGTTGGCGTCATGGCTTCCAAGAAGAGGTAATGCTTTCTGCAGCGACATTACAACATGGTAACTCCCTAGAAATCAGCGTACCTTGTAGGTAACTCTGGTGTCGGGGGCACCACCGGGCAGCTGGGCAAGTCGGTTATTTCAATAGCCCTCAATCTCTAATATAAATATAACAATCATACAATAAATATTGCACAAACATATACACAAAGAACTAATTCACACTAGTATAAAAATAAAGCACAAAAGAGCCACTATTTAAATATATAATGATCATCCATTTTTAACAATCTATCTTTAAATTACAAGTCCTGCCCTTTATATTCTTAATTCTTTGTTGAAGGACATGCACAGATCTGTATAAAATTGCTCTTTTGGGATAATTTATGAGCATCTACTCTTCTTATTTGAATGTATATAGACTTTACACAAAATGAAAACATAAACTTGCAGAATAAATAATTTTTTCCTTCAAAATAACATTATGAAGAAAAGTTGCAGTGAGTCTTACTACTCTTCTACTCTGTGGTTATGCAATTTTATTTTCATGATATAAAGCAAAATATGATGTAGTCATCATCTCAGTAGTTTATTTTACAGATATTTTTGTCTTTTTTTTAATAGATCCAGTAGCAGGAACTGAATTAAAAATATGTGCAAAGTGCAGTAGCAACACAGACATTTCACTATACCATTTATTTGTCCTTTTACGCAATTAATGTAACTTCCTGTTTGTGTGGGTTTCATGAAACAATTATGCAAGAACCGTTGTTTAAAATACAGGCATAGCTATTCAAATATGCCTACAGTTTAGATGAGAGTTAAATGAAGCTTTACATGGATTGTGATATCTGCACTGATAGACAAGGCTTTTTGTCTCCTTATTAAAAAGCTCCTTTATGCTTAAAATCTAATTTACATAATCAAATGCATCTACTTACAAGCACAAGGGATGAGCTAGAAAAGGGAATTCATGCAATTTCTAAAACTGGCATTATCGAGCAGAGAGTGTATTTAGTTTATGTGTTTCTCCTCAGTATAATACATAAAAATCCATATTTATAAGGTATTCAATGTTTTATGAAATGCTGTTTTAGGAACTGTGTTTTTGAATAGACTGGCTACAAAATTATGTTGAAAATAGGTGTACTCATGAATTATAGGGAAAAATAATAAAAAGTTTCCTATGCTTAATCCAATAGAGCCAAACTTATAAAATCTGATTCTTCAAATTGTCACCTAAAGTTGCAAGTTGATTCGCCTAGAGTGGACTGCAGTCTTCACCGCATGATAGCAGTGAGAGGAAAAGGTAAACAACTCACTTTCTCAGCCATTTCATGAGAGTGATGCAGGGAATGCTCCCTTTCTGAGAACATCCTCCTCTGTTCATAGCTGGCAAGTCGACAGGTGAGCCAGGAAGAGAGAGTGCAGCCCCCGATCCCAATGCAAGCAAGAGACATGGAGGCGAGATGCAGAGGATACAGGGAAGAGGTCTTCTTTGTGACTGCCCGAAGGAACTGAAAATTCAGGATGCCTCCAATGAGTCCACAGATACAGCACGCTGAAAAGAGGATCATCTGTTAAAAAAGAGAAAGGGAGTGTTAAAGTTGGGGAGGCAAAGCGGACCAGAACACGGTGCCCCTTCCTGTGCCACGTCAAGGATAGCTAACCTACAATAGAGAGAAGGTGCTCTTGGTGTTTCACAGAGGACAAGAGTTATCCTTTCAGCCAAGTTTCTATTCAATCTGACTCACTGGAGAGGGTATAGACCATAGTGTTTCGGAAATCGATAGCTGACTATATTAAAGCCAAGGATATATCTGCAAAAACTCTGAAACAAAATTTATCTTCTAGGTAGATTGGGATTTAAATAATATTTAATATCTACTGTGTCTACTACGCTAAAAATTTTAACAGATATCATCTCAATTAATCCTCCCAGCAATTCTCTGAGAGAGATAGTTATATACATTTTGGAAAAATGCATGGTGATTAGCTTAAACTCAAATTAGGGACTGAACCCAGATTTTCTTTTTTCTTTTGTTTTTGAGACAGAGTCTCACTGTGTTGCCCGGGCTAGAGTGCCGTGGCATCATCCTAGCTCACAGCAACCTCAAACTCCTGGGCTCAAGCGATCCTCCTGCCTCAGCCTCCCAAGTAGCTGGGACTACAGGCATGCGCCACCATGCCCGGCTAATTTTTTCTATATATTTTTAGTTGTCCAATTAATTTCTTTCTAATTTTAGTAGAGACGGGGTCTCGCTCTTGCTCAGGCTGGTCTCGAACACCTGAGCTCAAACAATCCGCCCGCCTCGGCCTCCCAGAGAGCTAGGATTACAGGCGTGAGCCACCGCGCCCGGCCTGAACCCAGATTTTCTGACTCTAAATCTAGTTTTATTGTGTCAGTCCTCTCAAAATATCTAAATATCTTCTCATTAAACTGTTATTGGCTCCACCTAACTTCAAATCTGAGCTGAGGGAATTTAGCTAAATCCTTTTTTTTTTTTTTTAAATTCACTAAGTATTTTATTCTGTGTGTATCTATTTCCCCAACAAGTAGTTTAGGGACTCCCTATGAACTGGCCCTGTATCTCATAAACCTTTTGTTATTCTGTGACACCGCAATGAAGAATATACAATAGGTGTTCCAAAATCACTGTTTGATTGTTTTGTGGAGAAATGCAGGATGTGGCTTTGCTTTCTATCCTATTATTGGTTTGATCTGGGTCTCTATTAATAGAGGTGGGGAGTTTTAGTCAGTTAAATATCAGGATCCCAGGCAGAACCAAGCACAATGACTTCCATGTAGTAAATATTCTGTGGGTATTTAATAAACTTAATTGACTATTCTAATAACTTTAAGAAATTTATTTTGTATTTTGCATCATTCTAAATTCTCCTATGGCTTTCACACTTCTTTCTAATGTGATAGTAATACTAACTTAATTACTCAACCTAGTTCCATTCTTCTTTGGAACAGAGTCTTTAGTCACCTAACTTGTCCATCAATATAGCTCATTCCCACTTCAATGATATTTTTCATTTCCTTTCACTTCTTCCTTGGACTTCTAGATGGAAAGGCACTAATCAAGTCCAAAATTTCTCAGAGAGCCTTCCTGGATTTTACTGATCTCCTTCTTTGCTATAATTACCCAAGGAAACAGCTTTATTCCTTACTTTAGTATTTAATTTTACTTTATCAGATATTGCTTCTTGTTAACAGTTGAGTTTAGCACCCAGCATCTATCAGGTTCTGAGCAAGGCAGCGGCTGGCATTACAAACAAAAGCTCATAATTATTCCTCTTGTGTGTACTGAAATCTTACAAAATAGAAAATCCAATATCTCAACATGGCATGGTAAATATTAAGAAAGAAGGATGGATGGGTTGCCCTTGGAGCAGAAGAGAGGGGAATTTAGTCCAACCAGGGTTTTTAGACAAGTCTTCCTTGAGAACATGTCATCTCAGCTAAATATGTGCAGTTACCCAGCAGAGGGCTTGGCCATGGATGTATGAAATAGCACAATGAAAAGCATGGTGGACAGTAAGAACTACAAATAATTGGTTTCATTTCTGCAACTTAACTCAGCATTCCTTATTGGGTCTGTCTCCTAGCACTTATCATCAAGGGTGAAAATCCAATGATAAATGAGTAAAATCATTTCATACTTGATTAAATATAATACAGAAAATCAATTACCAAATATTGAAATCATCCTGTCAAGTGGGAACTTGTGGCTCACCATTTAAAGTAGACCCAACCAATTATAATCCATTTTGAATTATATTCAGATGGCATGCAGTTTCTTGGAGGTATATTTTGGTGTTTACTCATTCTCAGAAAATATAGAAAGATATTACAGTCTAGCCTTCGCCTAATGAATTACTGTTGATTAAGAAAGTAGATGACGCATTTCATTTTCTATCACAGGAAATTCCATATCTTTTCTGATGTTATTCTCATTAATTCCTTAAAGGCATGATACTTCATTAACATGTGTTGACAGATCATTCTCGCCTAGAAATTAAAATATTAAAATTTGTATCCAAGTTTATAACCACATACTATTTTCAAATCTCATCAGACTGTTAGTTCTAGACTGCAGTGATATTTGGAATGGAGAAATTTTACAAAATTTTTTTGGAGGGTAGGGACTCTTGAGAACTAAATGCTATCTATGGGAACCTCAGAAAGTACCAAAGGATAATGTAACTTCTGAGAGTACGTACATCTTTCACCTCGATGGTAGTTTCTAAAAAGTTCAGATCTTAGGATTTTTTTTTCCTTTTGTTATTTATAAGAGAATTAGACAGAAAAGTGGCAATATTGTCTTTTAAAAAAAATCTCTTCCTTCCTTCTTTCTCTGCTCCCTCTCTCCTTCCTTCCTTCCTTCCTTCCTTTTCTTTCTTTTCTTTCTTTCTTTCTTCTCTTCTTGGGAGAAGGATTTGTTCCTACACAGCCATAAAGAGTCTTGGAAGCA